AGCTTATCCGGTATGGCAAGCACTCTATGAATAAAACAAGCCATGATTCCACATTTTGTGGTACCTTTGGTATATGGGACAATTGTCCTCACTTAACATTTGGAGTAAAGTCTCCACATTTTTGGAACTTATTGATGCAAGCAAAAGTTATGGAAGGGGCCCAAATTTTTGCAAGCAAAAGCTAAACTTTCCTAGGTAATAAAAGATACACAAAGACACTCTTGAAATATCAAAAACAACAACTTTATAACATATAAAAAGACGATTACAACTTTGACACTTACAAACACAAACACCTTACAATTCTTGACAAACAAAAAACACCTAAAGTTGCTTTTCCTTTACTTGAGAAGAAGGATACAAGTGGAGTGGTATTTGTGGAGAGAAGAAAGAGGTTAGAAGCCAAGACGAAAGGATGGAGAAGCTTGCAAGCTTCCTAAAAGGAAGAAGAAGAGAAATTGGACAAAGCTTGCAAGCTTTTCCAAACAACAAACCCGTAGGTTTTGGCTTCCAAAAATTACATCATAACACTCTTCTTTTTCTAACATAAAACACCACATATTATAGGCCAAAAGAGAGCAACCAAACAGCCACCTAAAACCTAATAAATAAGGGGAAATGAAAGGCCAAAAGACACCAAATGAAATGCAAAAAGACAGCAAAACAACCAGCAGGAATTATGCACAGAAAGTAGGGAGACAAGCCATGGAAAACCCCACCAACAACCATGAGAAGGCCTGTCAGCAAGGGACCCGAAGAGCCAGCACAGGAAACAGAGCACCATTTCACGGAAAAAATAGACAGGAGGGGGAAAATCAGAGGGAGAACCACGGGAACAACAACAAACATCAGAAACTGAAAAGACAATGGGAAGGAAAGAGACGCAATACTACTCCAAATAAATGAGCTAAACTTCAGCTCATAATGAGCTTTAAGTACAATAATTTCTCCAATTAATGAGCTAAATAAGTAAAAGATGCTCATTAATGAGCTGATTTTAGAAGCTCACCAAAATTTAAAACTCAACTTGTTATGCTAGTTTAAACTTCCTCTACAAACCAAACAACCCGTGTGTCTGAGATAATCTGCTTTAGCTCAATCTGTTATGTAAAGCTCCTCTAATCACAAGTGGCTACTTCAGATCTTAAGTCTATTTAGTTAAGTTTGTATGATATGCTCTTTGCTAGTTATCGAGTTAAAGCACATTTTAGACTCACACCACTACCCCAATTTGCTTGAGAAATGTTAGATGTGGCAACCCAGGGTTACTAATCAAGCTTTTTTGATATTACGAATCAAAGCCCTTTGATGTTAGTTGAGTGGGTACGCTTGCAAACCTAGGATGCCAGAAGCATTTGGTTTGCTTTCATTCCTATAGCCACTCCCCATTTAGCCAAATTTGAATGTAATCTATATAGACTAATGGGCCGTTTGGTTGGATAAAAAAGTAATGTAGAGTAAAATTGAATACAATATAAATATATGTAGTATATATGAAATATTTGGACTTGTATGGATGAGTGTAAAATAAATGTAGGTGATTAGCTTTTTTATGTTTGCTTGATGTAAAATGAATGTAGTGTAAAATTCAATGATGTTTGTGGACAGTGGCCGGTGGTAGACGGTCTGTGGCGACGATGGCCATGGTCAGCAGTTAGCAACAGGTGGAGGAGGTGGCGGCGGGTGGTGAAGGTGGCTAGCGGCGATGGCGGTTTATGGCAACTATGACTAAGCATTTATATTTTATTTGGAAATTTTCCAAATATAATAATTTTCAAATCACTAAAATTGAATTATATTGTAAATTTCAATTAGTTTAATTTTATTCTGCATTCTTTTACATAAGACCAAATACTAATATTTTTAAAACCCTAGCATTTGAAATACTTACCATTGTAAACATCCCCCAAGTGATCTCTTTTATTGAGAGTTTATTCTTGTGTGCTGAGAGGTTAATTAGCCATGGGCTTGTGCATGTGTAGTCTAGATGCTATATATAAATAATTCTTGAACTTCTTAGAGGAAATTTAGCTTAAATTTTTTTTTCTTGATATTGCAATCAAGCCTTGTAGTTTTAAATAATTTTCTCATGTGAATATAAAATGACTTTCAATGATTTATTCAAGCCTATTTTTACTATTCCGGGAAGGTTACTCCAAAATTAAAATGATTAAGCCATTTTGCTTTATATTTGGAATATTGTAATCCATATTGTATAGGTTAAATGAAAGAAATCTAACTTGGGTTATAAATGATGGAAAAAGATCAAGAAGCTTGTGTTTTGAGAAATAACTTTATTTAATCCAAGAATAATAAACATTCTCAACAAGTCCCATTTGGATTACTACTATGTTTTCAAGAGGAAAAAAGGACATGTTAAACAACTGAAAATGTGAATTATGTTTTTGAGTCTTAGGGATAAATATGGAATAGAATATTTAAAAAAACTACATTTATGTTACTTTTCTTTGGATAATTCAATATCGAGTTTATCAAAATTGGACCGAACATTGAACAGAAAAAAAGGAGAGGTTCAAAGATTAATGATTTGATTAAGATTGAATTGGATGATATAATAAATATTTAAAGTATTTAAATAAAAATGAATAATTTAATAATGACAATAATTATATAATAATATAAATTTATGATTCAAAAATAAATTTGGTTCGTATATAAACTTATAAAAATTTAATATAAATTATTTCTAATTTATATTATATATTTAGAAAAAAATTCACAACTATAAATTCTAATACTAAATTAACATTATAATATTGTGTTTATAAATGATGCAAGCAAAATGGGAAGAGCCGGCTGATTTGCTGGCTGCTTTTAGGCTGTTCGGATCCTTCTCCCTTTGCTGTGGTTGTTCGGTTCCTGCTCCCTTTGCTGTGGCTGTTCGGTTCCTGTATGTATTTAAAGTTGGATGCTTGGGCTCCCAATGTAATCTAAATGCTGCCTTTTTCTTCTCTTTTTTTGTTGGCTTGAGTGGGCGGCTGATTTGGCTTTTGGAATTCCTAATTTATGGTGATTTTTTGGGACTCTTCTCCAATTTATTAGGGGCTGATTGGGTGACTCTTGGGCTTTTTTCTTTAATTTATGAGGGCTGTTTTGTGGGCTTCTTTTTCCTCATATATAAAGGATTGTTTTGGGTTGTTTTAGAGTATGTGATGTGTGAACAATATTTGAAAAATGTAAAACCTGACGGTTTTCTGGATATAGCTTGCGAGCTATGCCTCTTCTTCTTCTCCTTCTTCTATAACTTCGTCTCGGTCTTCTAACCTCCCATGGTTACCACTCAATTGTATCTTTCTTCTCAACTTATCTTATTATCAATGTATTAGGTGTTTAAGTGTCTTTGTTATCATATCATCAATAATTTGTAGTTTTATTGTTAAGTCGTCCTATTAGTCGTTTTTTCAGTATATTTGGTTTGAAGTAGGTCAATTTTGGAAGATTTGTAAATTTTGTATTTGTCGGCAATTTATCTTGTTTGCATCAATAAATCATTCATGTTAGATCATTTATAATTAATAAATTGAGAAAAATTAATTTTTAATAGTTTATAATTAAAAAAATAAAAAAAGGATAAATAGATAAAAAATTAAATATGCTTAACGAAAAAAAATAAATATTATTTTATTATTAAAAAATAATTAAAAATCAGTTTAAAAATATATAATGTAAGTGTTGTTTGAAATGTTTAACTAAATTGTTTAGTTCCACACAATGTTTGAAATTGCGTATTCGGGTATTGAGGCGTTTTTCATTCGTGAGGCAAGGCGTAAGTCTCAAGACGTTTTGAGGCGTAAGCCTCAAAATCAAAAGATTGCGTAAACAGAAAATGATAAAATAAGAACTCATAAGTCATCAGCACTGTCATCACTAATGGGTTCTTCATTTGAATCATCATTATGGTGAACTGCTCTCTCTCCCTTTCCTCCTCTCCTATAGAGTCCAATGTCGGGCATTTACTTCAAGATTTATGTAAGTTTTAATATATATAGCGTGAGGTGTAAGCCTCATGCCAGTGAGGCGAAGCTGGCCTAAGGCGGGCCTCAACCAAGTTGAGGCGCAAGCCTCATAAAAAAACTCAAGGCTTAAGCATTGAGGCGTTTTTTACTGAAATTGCGCAAAGGCGGGCCTCAAGGGGAGCCTCATATTGCGCAATTTTAAACCATGGTTCCACATCATTTGGTAGGTTTTTTTTGGTTATGCTTATATAGTTTTTTTAGTTTGCCTTTGTTAGGAACTCACATGGGTGGTTGGATCATGTGGGTATGTTTTGTTAGTGCTTAGTTGGTAAATAATCATTATATATATTAATGATCATTCTAAAATTTAAATATATTAAATCTAAATTAATTTACTAAAATTAATATTTAAATTAATTTTTACTAAATTTATTATTTAAATTGGATAGCATGTGAATCGGTCTGTTGTAAGAAATCAAGACCGGACGATTTGCTAGTCTAACTAGTGGTTATGACAGATTCATACTAGTTTGATGTAAGGTCGGTTTCTTAAATGAACCAAACTAACCATCTAACCTGTTCTTGGTTGAACTAGCCAGTTAGTCTCGTTTTTTAAACCATGCTCAATACTTTCTACCATGTGAAAGCGGCTCTAGCATGAAGAGCAGTTATAGTAATTACAATAAGATAATTACTTTAAAAATTGGCAGTAGGTAATGCATATCTAAAAGTCTGGGAATAATTTGGCTCTATGAAAGTTTGGCAGAAATTTCTATTTTAAATTTCGTGATTAATCATTCTTAGAAAAGTTATGAAAGTAAAGATCAAGTTTAGTTTTGAAAAGTTACGATGTAGTTTCAGTTGGCTTAAGCTCGATGAGTTGTTATGATTTCGTTTCGGTTAAATTGGAAGCTTATTGTTAATACTATATAATTGCTGTATCATCTTGTATGATAACCTTACATTCCGTGCTGTTGTCTGTTCAACTAAACGTGCTTGTATAATATTGTTGTTTGTTGACAGCTCAAGAATGGCCGGACTTGTACCATTGTTGTTGAAAGCAAATGCAGCAAAATATCTAATTGAGGATTATGCTGCTTGTCTGGAGGCACGTTTTGATGAGTCAGTTGTTGTTGAGAATACAAAAGATGACCCTGGTGTTCTTATAATGCAGGTTTTATGATACTTTGATCTTTGAATATTGTAATATAGTTCATGCAAACTTGTAATATTTGATTTATTATTTGCAGCTTCTAATTGATAATATTAGACAACCTGCTCCAAGTCTTACACATTTACTTCTCAAGTTTGATGTAAATGGTCCTGTGGAAAAGACCCAGTTACAGCCAAAATATCACTTCAGGTTGAATCTCTCTCACGTTGAAGTGCATTCTTTGGTACATATTTTAAATAATTGTGTAGATTACAGTTTTTATAAGGCTATACGTTGACAATTTTTCCAGTTGCTTGAAGGTTATTCTTGATAGTTTGGAGAAGCTTTTGAGGCCAGAAGTGAATGCTCTGCTATATGAATTTGGTTTTCAGGTTTGGTAACTAATCTTGCTGCCCAACTTTTAAATCTTTATTTCTAATATGGATTTTTATTTCTTTTTATGTTTGTTGCAGCTCTTTTATGAATTATGTTTGGATCCTCTCACTTCTGGTTCTGTAGTAGATTTATTGAGTATAAAGAAGTATCAATTCTTCTCAAAGGTTTTGCTTTCCATCACATATATATTTTTTGTATTTGTGCATATATATTAAGCTTAATTTCTTTGCATTTTGCTTCTTTTTATTTTAGCACTTGGAATCTGTTTGTGCTGCCCCGCTACCAAAAAGGACAAGTAATCAGGCTCTCCGCATCAGTACACTCCATCAGGTATAAGGTTTAGACTTTTTCTTGGCAAAGAAAATTGATTTACATCTTCTTTAAATGTATTGTTTTGTTTCACGCTATGGAAGTCATTGATAGCCACCACATAAAGATGAGGATATCCTGATTATTGTAGTTGATCTTTTCACCGACCTTTATATGTACATGCTTTTTTTTTTTTTCCGTATTTTTAATTTCTGATTTATTTTTGAGGTCTTCACTTAAGTGACGAGTTTGATATGTTATGAGATCACGGGGCTTTCAAGAATGTTTGTATTGATCAGTGGCTGTATGAAGATCCTTTAAACTTCAAAAATAATCATAAGAGATTGCATTCTCTTTTGAATAATGTTGGAAGGGATTGTCGAAGTTGATTGAAGGTCCGCAACTGCGCAGATTTAATGGCCTACATTAAAATTCATCCATACTCTTACTTATAATTAATGATTTAGCGACAAAAAAAGTCATTAAAAGAATCCCTTGTTAGAAAAAAAAAACTCATGAAAATTCCATTAGTAATGGATAGGGGTATCAAAAATTGACACGATCTGAAAATTCGACTCGAACCCAACTCGAATTTTTCGGGTTAGGGTCAACTCGTTTTAAAAAATAGGTCGGGTTCGGGTCCTGATTTTGGACCCATTTTGAATTCTTGGTCACCCGGAAACTCGATTTTAACCCGGTGTTGACTCGGTTTTGCCCGCAAATCTAGCAGGCGAACCTCCGACACGGCTTTATTCCCTCTCTTTCTTCGTAAATAGGAAGAACGCATAGGCCGCAACAATATTTTATCACCTATTTTACTGTTTCCTTCTTTTAGAAACCTTTACTATATTAAATCCAAACGCTGCCATGATGCCATCTTCGAAGAAAGGAGAGGTCTTTAGAGGTTTTATTCTATTTGGCATTCATTTTTACAACTACATTTCTGTCTTGATCAGAAAGGTGATCAACCAATGACTGTCTATGGGCATATCAGGGAAAGAAGAAGAAAAAGAGAAATGGTGGTCGGGAGATTACTGAGGCGGAGTTCGATGATGACTTCGAAGCTGATTTTCGGGAGTTTGAGGACGAGGATGAGGTGGATGAACTGAAGGAGTTTACTGCAGCCAAGCCCTTCGCTTGCCGTCCAAACCCGACAATTTCATAACGAGGTTATCACGGAAATGAGGAGAATTTGAGAAATAAAGTTTTGCACCTTTTGATTGTGCTTTCTTTTGGATTGTATTCGATTTCTTGTCTCGCTGGAATCGAAATGGAGGTTTTGGATTTGCAGCGGCCAATGCTGGAGTGTGGCGGGACGGCAGCGGGGTTTTGAGTTGTCTTAGAGTTCCGGTAATGAGGCCGGCTGGCTGCGGTGGTGCCAACTGTGATGAGATGAGTGGGCTACCATTTGCCAGTCGCCTTTTTTTTTTTAATCGGATGTAAAGACGATGGGTTCGTCTTTACATCCGATTAAAAAAAAAAATGGAGAAAAAGACTTGGTTAGAAAATATTAGGAATGACCTTTCTTTATTAGGTTTAAATGAGAATTTGACTTTTAATAGAACACAATGGAGAAAAAGGATTCATGTAGCCGACCCCACGTAGTGGGATAAAGGCTTGATGTTGTTGTTGTTGTTGTTGTTGTATGTAAAGACGATGGGTTGGTGGATTTTGTCTGGTTGACCTGAGACCTAAGCGGGTTTGGGCCCGAGAAAATGACCCCTTTTAAAAGCGGGTCGGGTTCTGATCGGGTCAATTAGTGTCGGGTCTGTTCTGGGTTAGACCCGAACCCGACCCGTGGCTCGATTTTGACAGCCCTTGTAATGGATATAAGATGGAAATATCATATATAGTATTGATGGATATTTCATGACTTATGGATTGATTTTTTGTCAAGTAACTTGTAAGATCTTATATGTTTTCAATCCAAAGAATTATTGCGATAAAGAGAACTATCCTCTAGAGAGTGTAATGCTTGCTACTAATAGAGAAGGTGACAGGGATATGCTCATGTCCTTTTGCGGTGGATATCTCTGCTAACAAATTGGAATTGATGGTTTCTAGATGAACTAACTTTATTATTTTGTTTCACAATTCGGCCAATGTTATATTGGTTGGGAATTTGTGGCTGAATATCATGTTCCACATTGACCCCTCTAGATCGATATGAGGCGAAAATGGACATTTACTTCCGCATTTTTTTAATAAAAAATTCTTTACCCTAACTTGAGCAGAAGAATTCTTAAAATTTGTCCATTTATTTAACCACAATGCTTCTAAAATACATCATGATTCTTTTGTGTATGTCATCAAATTTTTTTTAAAAAAAATATATTTGACTATGCTTTATCTTACAACAAAATTGTTCATGATTCTTTTGGAGTTATGAAACCTATTACCACATCATAATCCTAAATTGGAATCCTTTCTCCCTTGAATTCTCCTCTCTCCCTCTATGCATGCCGCCGGCCCCCATGGAGAAATTTCCCCATTAATTGCTTGTTTAATGCCTTGACCATTTTGAAATCATAATTTGATTTCAAAGTTTTCCCTTCTAAATTACTTAAACTGAAATTAAATTTCAGTTTTAAGTTTTCAAACCTCCCCTCCCCTCTAAGCATGCCGCCGGCCACCTCTTGATGAGCCCCTTTAATTGCTCATTAAATTCCCCCTTAATTACATTGGAAATTTGAAATTCTTTTCAAATTATTCCCTCCAAATTTACTAAAATCTGAGATTAATTTCAGATTTGAGTAAACCTCATGCCACCTCATCTAACCTAGCTTCTCTCCCTCATTTCACTGCCCCCTCTCAATGCTCTTCCCACATTTCCTTCCTTTCCTGGAAACTTCACGTGGCTGTCCAAATTTCTGGGCATAAGTTGCACGTTGTCTAGCACATCCCAGATTTTCTTCTTGCTGCCCATCACCCCAGCAAAGGGAAATCAACCATTTTTGCTGCCGTGAATCCTCCTGTTGCTGTCCAAAGCCTTCCTATGGTTTTCTGCTCAGATTTCCTAAGTTATAATGTTGCTGTCCAGAAGAATTTCAGCAGTAAAAACAGCTGACCTGCTGCCCACAAATCCAGGTTGCTGCCCAACAGCATCCGGAAGAATTCCAGCGAGGGAAACTTGAATTCCTGCCACCTAAAACCTTCAAACTGCTGGCCGCTCTCCTACAACTTGCTGTCCACTGGTTCTACAAATCTCCACGGTCATCCATCCCCGCCACCTCCGCCACCGTCAACCTTTCCGTGGATCAAGGCCATTGGTGTTGCTACCGTCGTCGTGGCATCGTTGAGTTTGCTGAAGATCTTCTCCCGCTAAGCCTAGTGTAGTTGAGTGATCCATCCCCAAGGTGAAAACTCTCTTTATTAAATTGCGGATTGTTGATTAATAGTTTATGGTATTGCTACCATCTTTGGTTACCTAGGAGTTTTGGCTAATCTACATGTACTTCCTCGCCTAAGCTAGTGGAAAACTAAGATTCTTTGATGAACTTGCTTGTTATTTCGATAAGTTATTAATTGGTAATTCATTGTCAACTATTCTTAAAATTTCTTAAATGAGCTCCCGCGCATGTTAGTATCACATCATCCTATTTCTCCTCTTTAGTCATTTTCGTCGGTAGAAGTCCGTCTCTCTTTTCGTGAGCAAATCTTTTAATAAGTAAAATTAATATTCAGTATGGATTTAAGAGGAATTTTGGATTAATGTCAAATTAGATTTTATGAATTTTCTCTAGTAGTCTAACTTTTATTTTATATTTTTTGCTCGCATCAAATATTAGCAATTATAATATCATAAACTAGAGCAAAGTCTACAAATAAATTAAAATTAAAAGAAAAACCTTATTATTGTGGTCAACAACTTAGAGGACCTCAACTTAATAGTTTCTAATTAGCTAGCATTCTTCAATTAGCAGTACCAACAAAATATCAAGGCAACACCAAGCTAGTTTCAGGCATACCTTCTTTCGTCCCATAGGCATTCCTGCATCCTTCACACCGACATCCCAAGGAACACCCAACGCCAGCCTTCACCAAAAAGAAGAGTATGCACCAAGAAAGTAAAAAATATAAAAACTGAAACGCATTATTAAGATTAAAAAAAGAACAATACAATCGAAAAACACACCTGATTGCATTCACAGTATTTCTTCAAGCACTTAGACTTCTTGCAATTGCATCCTCTTTTATGCCTTGCTGAAGGTGGCGTTATATGCTTATTATCCTGAAACATGTATTTATTTTTTATCCGCACAAAGGAAAAAAAAAAAAAAAATAAAAAAAAAAAAAAAAAGATAAGATGCTTACTGCATTCTCTTTAAGATCACCATGTGCATGCACAACCTTAGGAGCAAATGCAAGTGGATTGCGAGTTTCTATGAGCTGCCTTGTTGAACTGTCCATTTCTTCATTTTCAGAATTATTAGAACACCCTTGACATGAACAAGTTTTTGCGCAAAACATTCCAGCAGCAAAGCAATCGCAATAGCTGGAAAATAGGAACATAAAATAAATTATGAAATTGACAGCCAGAATAATAATCATATTCAGCACAAATTCAGAAATAAGCTTACAGTTTAAGGCATTTGGACCTCTTGCAATTGCATCGTTTTTGTCCCTCAATCTCCGGATCTTTCTTCCTGTTAAATCTCAAAAATAAATAGCAAAAAAAGGAGAATGAAAAACAGTAAAACCAAGTGAGGTTTCGTTTGGAATGGCTTTCTTACTGTTTCTTAAAGCAGTTTTCTAGTAAAAAAAAATAATTTTTAAACTAAAAAGCTGTTTTAAGAAGCAGTAAAAAAGCCGTCCCTAACAAAGCTTGAATCTAATGCATGCTTACCTTTTTCTTCCAAGGGTTGTTTGTGCTGAATCCTCTGATTGGCTAGCTTCTACATAGTGCTGTCTTTTTCTTCTGCATGGAGTTATGTGGTGATCACTAAATTCCGGTTGCATGCGCATATCCAAAGGTTCAACATCAAGTGCCGAATGATAATCTGGAGCAGAATCTGATGATT